ACCGGTGTTTTGAATGCGGTAAGCCGGGACACTGGAGAAGATACTGCCCAGAAAGGCGAAAAAGAAAAAATTTCAGACGGTATAATGCTTGTTCTTTCTTTCGTATGAACCTAGATTTAGTGGGGGCTATTGAGAAAGGGCTCTGTATTCGAAGTTGCGAGTGAATGATCGAGAAGTAGTATGTTTGATAGATACAGGGGCGGCCGTGTCGTTAATAGATAAGAATTTATGTAAGAGTGTTAGCCCGTGTTCATTGACAGTACAAACAGTAGGCGGGTATGTGTTGCGTATCACGGGTAGATCGAACTGTACGGTCGTTGTTGGTGGCTGCGAGGTGACGTTTCCTTTCATTGTTGTACCCGAACTACAGCGAACGATATTAGGAGCGGATTTTCTGCGTGAGATTGGTGCAATAATCGACACGCAAGCGAACGTGGTGATCACGAAATACGGGCATATCAACATGTATGAGACCAGCGAGATAGCAGCGATTAAGCTGTCGACGGTACACAATGTGACAGAGTTAATTAATAAATACGATCATCTGTTCACTGGAGAGTGGGACCCATACGGTTATTGCGATAAGGTGAATCATGAAATTCCGTTAAGTGATCCGAAAGTAAGGTCATTTTTAACGCGAAGAGTTCCATGTCATCTGGAAGGCGAAGTGGAGCGACAAGTGCAAGAGATGTTAAAAGATGATATTATTGAGGAAGCTGATAGCCCATACAACTCTCCAGTGCTGTTAGTAAAAAAAGCGAATGGGAAGTATAGATTCTGTGTTGATTTTCGACAGTTAAACAGTATGACAGAGTTAAGACCGTGTGCCATGCCAACAGTGGTAGAAACTTTAGATCGCCTACAAGGTGCGAATGTGTTTTCGGTTCTCGATCTTCGCTCAGGATACTGGCAGATACCGATAAAACAAGGTGATAGAGATAAGACGGCTTTCATCGTGGGTCAGACACAATATCGATTTAAACGCATGCCGTTTGGACTAGCAGGTGCACCGTTTACGTTCAGACGACTGATGAAGCTATTACTTAGGAACTTGAAAAACGTGGAGGTTTATGGTGATGATCTCGTCATATACAGTCAAAACGAAAACGATCACGTCAACCATGTAGAAGCCGTGCTGCGACGCATCGAAGAGTTTGGACTACGCGTCAACAAAACCAAGTCTCAGATAGCCAAAAAGAATGTTACTCTGTTGGGACATAAAGTGGGAAATGGTGAGATTAAACCACTGCCGGAGAAAATTTTGACGATTAAAACGATTCCAGCCCCGAATTCAAAGAGAAAACTGAGACAATTCTTGGGTAGAGCAGCGTTTTATAGTCGCTTCGTGAAGAACTTCAATGAGATAGCAGCCCCTCTATACAGGCTACTAGGTGAGCCAAAGTTTGTTTGGTCGGAAGAATCGCAGAGGACATTCGACAGAATTAAACAGCTGCTCGACCACCAACAAATGACGCTAAAACTACCTGTGCCAGGAAGACAGTTCACAGTGTGCACAGATGCCAGTGACTACGCTATAGGTGCGGTCCTAAGACAGGACGAGGGAATCGTTGAGTATGCCAGTAGGGTTTTGACCCTCACAGAGAGAAAGTATTCAACGATAGAGAAAGAATGTTTAGCAATGGTATGGGCAGTCGACAAATGGAGACCTTATTTACTCGGCCGGCGGTTCCACATCGAAACTGATCATAAGCCGCTACAATTTTTGAAGACAGCGAGAGACCCACGGGGGAAGTTGTCACGGTGGATGTTGCGTCTTCAGGAGTACGATTTTACGATCTCACACGTTCCTGGAAGTGAAAATGTCTTGGCAGATTTGTTATCGAGACCAGAAGATGAGTCTGAGTTGCCCGAGGTCGCTTACGGAGTGCATGCAGTAGAACAAGACCCACTAAGACTTGCACGTAGGCAGAGGTTGGACGATACGCTGAATACAGTAATACAGGTGATCACCAACGGAATAGAAGTGGATCAAACTACGGCGAGTAAGGAGCTAACCACACTACTCAGACAGAGGGATCGACTCAGAGTGAATGCCTACGGGACTCTGACCTGGCGAGAGAACGACGGAAGCTGGCTGGCTGTCATACCTCAATCGTCGCGCCACGACATGATAGAAGAATGTCACCAGCTAGCGCATACAGGCGTGGCCAGAACGACCGACCTCCTAAGACAAAGTATGTACTGGCCAGGTATGAGAGAAGACGTAGCAAGATACGTACTTGGATGTCCACGGTGCCAGCTGATGAAAGGTGACCGGTATATACGACCACCACTTCAGTCGATTCCAGTTACCGCGATAGGTGACTTGTGGTCCGTAGATGTCATGGGTCCATTTCCTCAGACATCCAATGGTAATCAGTACCTCTTGGTGATGACGGAACACGCGACACGATGGGTAGACGCCGTAGCAATCCCAGACCAACGTGCAAGAACCGTGACAGATGCAGTAGTTAGACACATTGTTGCAGACCACGGCGTACCGAAGACAATACTGACAGACCAAGGTCCCTGTTTCGAGAGTGAAGAGTTTACTTCCCGTTTGCAACAGCTGGGCATCAAGAGGATCAGAACGACCCCATACCATCCACAAACGAATGGCCTAACGGAGAGAAACAACCGTACACTGAAGGAGTGGCTGGCCTCGAAGGGCGGGAACTGGGAAACGGAGCTTCCACTGATTTTACTAACACATCGGGCTACCACTCAGGAAACAACGAAGAAGTCACCCTTCCAACTGATGTATGGTAGAAAACCACGATTACCGGTACACAATGAGACCTGGCCCATGCACCAAAAGTGGAGTACGACGAAATTAAAAGCAGAGAGGAAAGAGGCAGTCAAGAATGTAATACGGAAGCAGCGCAGTGATGTCACGAAGTCTCAGATGAAAGAAAGGACGCAGTGCATTACCTTTGCAGTCGGGGACCAAGTGAAGTGTAGAGACAGGAGATATACAGTTGGAGGCGGGCTAGGTTCACGGAAACTCCTTCCAAAGTGGGAAGGACCATACACAATCACAAAAAGACGGGGTCAAGTATATACCATCCGAAGAGGTGATAAACAGAAACGAGTTAACGCCAGTCAGCTCCAAAGATGGGTACAGTGGGACAAGCCGGTCAGTAACAATCCTCAACTAGAGGATGTAGCACCCAGAAGGTCGGAACGTCTGCGCACGAAGCTATTTGACGGGGGGACGAGTGTGGTGAGAGCAAGCTGCTAGCCGATTGGTTGACACTAATCTACGTTAATGTCTAGGTCACTAATATGGGCCGTGAGAAAATATGAACAAGGCTGTTTCAACAACCAATCACAGCAAACTTAAATGTGGACAAATATGATTCGCAGATAGATGGCTCTACTTTCCGAGAAATATCGAAAACAACCAATCATAAGACTGTGTTTGTCTGCTTAACTTCCGAGAAACAACCAATCAGAAGACTGCCTTTTTCTGCTTGCATAAGCCTTATTAATGCACATAAAATATATATAAATACGTGTTGATTTTCGTAATAAAACGATCTGTTGCCAGCCCTTGTCTTCTGTTGTTACACTGGAGTTTTAACACTCTGTCATATCCTCACTTCTGAGGCTGCTGACCAATTTCTCCTGTTCTTGTTGCCTGAATCTTCATCATTTGCTGGTTCGTTCTTGTGGCTTCTCTCCACATAGTGCTGCATGTGGTTAAACACATTCAGTAGTGGGAGTAGGACACTGAGAGCCATGCAGTTCTTCTTGCCTTCTGGTGTGATGGTTCACACTGGACTACAGAAAACAATATGCGATTTTTCTCCCTTTAAGTGTACTTACGGGAAACTTGATGTATCTTTAGAAATGTATTTTAGTACTCAACACCTAACCTCATATGTGCTTTCAGAGTCTCTCTTTCCTACCTTCTCTCTCTGTTAGGCATTTATAGTATGAAATTTCTGTTTATTTTTAAAAATTTTGATGGTCTTTTCCTTCTCACCTTTCGTTTGGAATCACAGAACTCGGACAAGCATCCTCCTTACTCCACAAGTTATCCTATTAAATTCCGTTGTGCTTGGATTACTTTTAGTTTGACAGGTAGACATCTTGGTTGGCTTGAAGGCAATGTTTTCAGTTTGCTTAACTCAGTCAGTATCAGATAAGTGCAAGTGAACTCAAAGAAACAACTGTGCACGATAATTATTGTCCTACTGTTCAACTGAAAAACATTTCAGTTTGTGGTTACTTCTATCCGTTGAATATCTAGTCTGCGGGTGCTATAGCACCAAACCTTCCCTTTTTAGTACGTAGATGATCTCAGTGAAATATACATTCTTCATTCTAAGAGGCAAATTATGACCCACTAACATTTTTGGCATCTTGTGTTCTGAATCGTACAAATTTATCTCAGTGGCTGTCTATATTCTGATAATCAGGAATAGTGATGAAATTTCCCCGTCGCACAGTGTGCCATGTAGTCACTAGCAGGTGGTAGTTAGAACTAAACACCTGTGGAAGTAACCATGATACTTTACTGACTTTTATAGTGGTAGACTGAAACAGCAGCCGAAGACTCTGTTAAGTACTCGTCGGCTGAGAATGTAAACTTCAGCTCATGCAAACAAAATATGTTCATGCCTGTACTGAAAGCTGTTGCTTAGCCGACTAGACATGCTGCATGCTTGAAGTTGTTATACCTTCTATGATAAGTCAACATAAATCTGAGATCGCTTTGATGAAAAACGGGAGACAATTATGCAAGAGATATATGCATTTCATTAACAGAATAATGATAAAAGCGTGTAGAGATGGTGTGTATTTCAACATCTCCTAATACATCTATTTCAGATGACATTTGTTAAATGTACAAATGAACCAAAGGTAATGTTGAGGGGTAGAAAATGTAATCACGTTTGTTGTAATGCTACACTGAAAAGGAGAATCGAAGGTTGTCAATGGAGTTGAAGATTGAACGATCAATTCTTGGTTGTTTGCTCAAAATCAACTTCCTCGATTTTCGCGGAGGCATCAATACGACAGTCATCGTCTCATCGGTCGCTGTTCAGAAAGAAGAGTTAAACATCGTTAGAAGTAACATAACGATTTATTATTGTAATATTTGTTTACAGACCTTAGTTTTCTTAGTTTGCTTAGTGATTTTTTATATGCTGGTGTAACAATACATAATACTCAAGTCAACAATTGGTGTTCTGGTTTTTCGTCCGTTATAACTAAGCGTTTCGAAAATCTTCAAGGAACAGCGTGGGCCCGAGCGTAGCGAGAGCTGGGCATTAACGGTTTATGAGACGGTTGCTGACAGTTTCTGACGATAGAAACAGATCTGGCGGATTCAAACAGTTGGTGAAAGTTTGGATAGTCACCGTTCATTTTCCTGGTGCCGGTCAAGTCCTCTTTGAACAAGCAATATCTGGAACTTTTTGGAATTGGGTCAAGTTCAACAATGCCTGGGTCAAAGAAGGGACAGAGTGTCTTGGATACAAACAGGAAAGTAAGTCATGGTGACTTGTCTGTTAATTGTAACGATGTGTCTGATGTTAAGCATGACATGGTTGATGTTACTGTTTCGCCGTTCAGGGATAATAGGAACATCAAACTCCCTAAGTTTGAACCACGGTGTTTTGATGGAAACCCGGCCGATTATTTACAGTTTGTTAAGGAGTTTGAGATCATGCTGAGTAGTTTTTCATTAAGTGATGAATTGAAATTGATGTATTTGATGAGGTATTGCACTGGAGATGCTTCAAGAGCTATACAGTGCTGTAAGCTCATGCCCCCTAATGAGGGATACGCTGAGGCTATGAGCATATTACGTCAAAGGTTTGGAAGGCCTTCGATGATTGTAAGGAACGTATACGAAGCTGTCAAGGGTAATGGCAGTCAACTTCAAGATGACTCCAAGGCACTCACTGAGTTTTTAGACAATCTTATGACTTACAAGAATACCTTGATTTCTATGAATTTCATGAGTGACCTCAACTCCAGCTCAGTCCTAGAGGTAATTGCAAGACGCCTACCTACGCGGCTGCAAAGGAAATGGGTAAAAATAAGCTCTCGTATAGAGGAGGAGGGTATCGAGCCAAGGTTCGATGATATTCTTAGACTGGTGAAGGACAGTGTCAACCAGGCGATGGGCAAATTCGCCAGCATTTTGCATTCTAAGGTAGAACCTAAGGAACCAGTGAATATAAGGAAGGCATTTGTGGTGAAGTCTCAAGACACAACGAGAAAGGATGAGTGTATTGTCTGCCATAACATGCATCAATTGAGTGATTGTAATCGCTTTATCGCTATGTCACCCGTAGAAAGGTTAAAAATGGCAAAGCAGAAGCGGCTGTGTTTCAGTTGTTTAAAGATTGGGCATACAAAGTGGAATTGTAAGGCGACAAATAAAGGAAGTAGTGGTTTAACGGATATGCACCCACTTCTGAGAACAGTGAACGAACCTGGGAGTTCGGTTAATTGTAATAGTATCTCTAGACCCCTTGACATCCCACAAGTTTTCTTAGGGGTATTACCAGTTAAGGTGAAAGGACCGAAATCTTCAGTAGAGACTTATGCATTGTTGGATAATGGTTCAGACGTTACATTGATAGATGCTGAACTGGCTGGTTGCTTGGGTATTAAAGGCCCAAAGCAACCCTTGGTTGTAAATACTTTCAATTCTGCGAAAACAGTAGTATGTGAGCGAGTGTCATTTCAGTTAGAATCCTTGGCTACAGGGGAGACCGTGGAAGTGGATACTGCTTACACTACCTCCAGTATGAAACTTGGCGAAGCTATAGTACCTAGTCGTGAAACGGTTGTCGGTAAGCCGTACCTGTGTGACATACCTCTTCCAACATTGCAAGATGGAAGAGTGAGAGTACTCATTGGATGTAGTGTGCCAGAAGCCCACAAGGTATTAGAAGAGAGATTTGGAGGTAGAGATGATCTGTTTGCGACAAAAACACCACTGGGATGGACAGTGAGAGGACCTATACCCATAGTCCACATATCATCATTAGTTACAAACGATGGGGACAAACTAGAAACTATGATTAAAAATATGTATGACAAGGAGTTTTGTGACTGCGGTGTCCCAGGGAAAGGTCGTTCTGTAGAAGACTTGAAAGCAGTTAAAATAGCCGAGGACTCTTGTAAATACGAAAACGGGCGTTTCAGCGTTGGCCTACCATGGAGATTCAAAGATAGACAGTTGATTTGTAATAGGAAAGTTGCTCTTAAGAGACTAATGGGTTTACAGAAGAAATTCCTGTCAGATGCAGAACTCTGGTCCAAATATAAGGAAGTCGTCGATAAACATATAGTGAAGGGTTACGTTGAAAGACTAGTTGATCAAAGTGAGCCAGGGAAGTGGTATTTGCCCCATCATCCCGTCTTTAACCCGAGGAAGCCAGGTAAACTCCGTGTGGTGTTTGATTGTTCTGCGAAACACGAAGGAGTCTCTTTAAATGATAATCTGTATAGTGGCCCAGATTGCGTGAGCTCATTAGTGGGACTGCTATTGAGATTCAGAAAGTTTACAGTTGCTGTCGCGGCGGATATTGAGGAAATGTTCCTTCAGGTGAAGGTGCCAGAGAGTGACAGAGATCACTTGAGGTTTTTGTGGTTTGATGACGGTCCTTGTGGTAAGGTGTCAGAATATAGGATGACAGTGCATCCATTTGGTGCCACATCCTCCCCATTTTGTGCTAATTTTGCTCTACGAAAGGCAGTGTCCACATTTGGTTCTAATGATTTGCTGGACGTCATAGATTGTTGCTTCTACGTGGATGATTGTTTAGCCTCCTTCGATGATGATAAGTCTGCAGTTAGATTTGCAACAAGCATTACTGAAGTGTTAGCTAAGGCCGGCTTTCGTCTAACTAAGTGGGTCTCGAACAGCCTAGACGTTTTGAAGCATATAGATCCAGAAGACAGAGCACCTACCGTACGAGATTTGCCTGTTGATACTCTACCAGTTGAACGCACATTAGGTATGCGATGGGATGTGAACTCTGATACCTTTGGATTTAGTGTTGGTGATATTGATAAGCCAGTTACTCGGAGAGGTGTGCTCTCTGTGTTGTCGTCCGTGTTTGACCCACTTGGATTAGTAGCACCTTATCTACTTCCGGCTAGGAGGTTATTTCAAGAGACATGCAGGAAAGGGTTACAGTGGGATGAACCATTAAGTGAGAGGCAGAGAGAAGAGTGGAAGGGGTGGGTTAACAGTTTAAGAATGCTGAATCTACATTCCGTCTCACGTCCACTTAAGCCGTCGAGAAATCATGATATAATTGACTTCCATGTTTTTTCTGATGCCTCTGAGGTTGGATTTGGTGCAGCCGTATACATCAGAACCACCTTAATGAATGATATAGATGTTAGCCTGGTGATGGGTAAATCCAGAGTTGCACCTCTAAAGACGGTTTCGATTCCGAGATTAGAACTTAATGCCGCCTTACTAGCTGCGCAGTTATTCACAACAGTGTGTAAAGAGTTGGATTACCCCAAGCATCCCGTAACGTTTTGGACTGATTCGATGTCTGTGATATATTATATACGCAACGAGTCAGCAAGATATGCATGTTTTGTAGCTAACAGAGTATCTCAAATTCGTGAACTAACCACTGTTGAGCAGTGGAGGTACGTACCGTCTGGAAAAAACCCAGCTGATCTAGCATCGCGAGGAGTTATTGATATGAATGTTGTTAAAAATAAGTGGTGGAAAGGTCCAGAGTTCTTGCTAAGGGCTGATAGTATGTGGCCTCGTAGAGAAGATGAACCACCGATAAACGAGTGTGCCTTGGAGTTGAAGACAAGTGTCAGTTTAACATCTACTCAAGAAAGACATTCAGGTTTACATCCACTTTTTAAATATTATTCTTCTTGGTACAAACTACTGAAAGCGGTTGCGTGGTTGACACGATATGTTACGTATTTAAAGGTCATGCATCTTGCGGGATACGAAAATATGAATGTGGGGCCTTTGAGAGTCGAAGATATTAGAAATGCAGAGTTAACGATTTTGAGGGCTGCTCAGTGGGAAGCGTGGGGTGAGATTACCAAGGAGGATAGTCCCGATTTCGCAGATTTCAAGGTGCGGTTAGATAGATTATCTCCGATAGTTTCCGAAGGGATCGCTAGAGTTGGTGGACGTCTACAAATGTTAGAATCGTCATATGAGACCCGTCATCCGGCTTTATTACCTTGCTACCATCCAGTCACTGATCTCATTATAAGACACTACCATGTTCTTGAAGGTCATTTGGGTACTTCGCAAGTACTATCAAGTATTCGATGTAAGTTCTGGATAGTGAAGGGAGGTACTGCTGTCCGTAAAATAATTGATAAGTGCATGGAATGTAAACTCCGAAATGCTCGTCCAGTACAGCAGATAATGGCACCACTCCAGCGTGGCAAGCTTCTGAAGGGAATTATCCATTTGAGTACGTTGGGGTGGATTTGTTCGGACCTTTTGTAGTGAAGAGAGGCAGAACCCTATGTAAAAGATATGGCTGTTTATTCACCTGTTTGAAAATGAGAGCTGTGCATATTGAGATGGTTCATTCTCTAACTACTGATTCATTCGTGCTAGCATTACATAGATTTATAAATCGCCGGGGTGTACCGAAGATGATGTTCAGCGACAGAGGGACTAATTTTGTTGGCTGTCACGCCGAGCTTAAAGAATACTTCGAAGGTCCTCAAACGAGAGTTCAGGAAGAGTTACTGAAAAGGAACATCGAGTGGCACTTCAACCCACCACATGCCAGCCATAGAGGTGGGCTATGGGAAAGACTTATAGGAATTATCAAGCGTATTTTAAGCTCCATAATTAAAAACCAGAGTTTGAATGACGAAACGCTAGAGACATTTTTTTGTGAAGCTGAACGAATATTAAATGACCGGCCGTTATCGCCTGTGAGGGACGACGTCAAGGATTTTGATGTGTTAACCCCAAATAAATTATTGTTATTGAGAGGCAACCCTGGCATAGAGGACGCAAGCGGGGAAGGAATACCTACGATTAAAAGATGGAAACAAGCCAGGCACATGAAAGATATATTTTGGAAAAGATGGTTTAAGGAGTATGTTCTAACATTGCAGACCAGGGACAAGTGGAAAAAGTTGTGCCGAAACTTAAAGGTTGGTGACATAGTATTAGTAGCAGATAAATGTGCCACAGGTAGGTGGCCTTTGGGAGTGGTAGTAAGGCTGATCTGTAGTGGTGATGGATTGGTGAGGACGGTTGAGGTGAGAACTAGTTGTGGCATGTTGGTGCGAGATATCAGAAAACTGTGTCTCCTGGAAGGTGCTGAGAGTAGAGAGTCGGAGGATGAAACAATAGATGATTTTCCAACCTAGAGCGTCAACCTGAGAAGGGTTGTAGGCGTACTGCTGTAAGTCCTACAATTCTTCAAAGGGTAGCGCATCAATGAGCAGTCTAATGTGCTCGGTGTGTGATTTTGTACATATGTTCATATTGTATATACTGAATTGATATCATCTGTCATCTAGCTGTTGGTAATTCTGTTTGTGTCCGGACATTCCACAACTTACAATCGTCAACCTGTGAAGGGTTGTAGGCGTACTGGTGTAAGTCCTGCAATTCTTCAAAGGAATTCCATCAAGACATGATCTGCGAGGTTGTTTGTACTGTTTGTATATACGTGTGGTGTGTCATATCAATTGGTGTTTTTTGGATTCATTGTGTTTACTCGTTGTTTTCGTGTCTTGTTGTTATTGCGTAATTTTGTTAAAATTTTCGTCGTGATTACTTCTGAAGTTGTTTCGAGTCTTCTACATCCATGAATGAATTGATTGATGTTAAGGACAGCAGATGGGTCGTATACGCCGGGGAGGCTAGGCTATTGCTGAGAATGAAATGCACACGGAGATAATTGTTAGCTGCGGTCCGACACGCCGGGGAGAAAGAGTGTAAACGACTGAGGCTCGCATGCGTCACCGCTATTAGAACTGAGGCAGAATGAGTGACAAGCGATTGCAGTGGTAATTGGTAGTGAGTAGATAAGAGGATGTGCGTAGAGTATCGTGAGGTGCTGCCATGGTCACTTTGCATTCTGCAAGAGTCATTCTAGCAAGTGGCGATTGTGTTGCAAGATGTCAAGAGGAGGTCTCTGTCTGGAGGCGCAGGTCGTCATTGATGTGTGAGATTGTGCTGTGGGTATGCTTGTGGTGTGTTGGCTTTTCTGTTTGTTTTCCATTTCAGCTCTGTCCGTGTGACCCAGGTTCTCGCAATGGCATCCAAGTCAACGTGCATTGGTCGTGAAGGAAAAAAGGGTTGGATCCCTTTTTTGCCGGGGAGTGTCAATGGAGTTGAAGATTGAACGATCAATTCTTGGTTGTTTGCTCAAAATCAACTTCCTCGATTTTCGCGGAGGCATCAATACGACAGTCATCGTCTCATCGGTCGCTGTTCAGAAAGAAGAGTTAAACATCGTTAGAAGTAACATAACGATTTATTATTGTAATATTTGTTTACAGACCTTAGTTTTCTTAGTTTGCTTAGTGATACTTGATTTATATGCTGGTGTAACAATACATAATACTCAAGTCAACAATTGGTGTTCTGGTTTTTCGTCCGTTATAACTAAGCGTTTCGAAAATCTTCAAGGAACAGCGTGGGCCCGAGCGTAGCGAGAGCTGGGCATTAACGGTTTATGAGACGGTAGCTGACAAAGGTACTCTTACGATAATTCACGGACTGATACTGCAGAGGTACATATCATGACACTTTACCTCCTTAAAAACTGATCAAGGAGACGTGTTTTGAGAAAAACTCATTGGTAACATCAATCTTGTTTTGTATTGCACAATCAAAAGTCAGGAATTGAACGAAGAGACCTTTGAAACCTTTCTTAATAAAGCCAAATAATTTTGAATGGGGTACTTCTCAAGTGACTGTAAGAAAGCTATTGTTATAGCGTAGTCGAATCATTAGAGTACCCAGCCTGGAGACAGAACTCATAGTCCACGATAGGAATGAACTAGAAACTATCCCTTTTGCAAGATTTCACAATCGGGATTCCGAAATATCCTACAGAAACCAGCTAGGCCTGCGCAGCAACAATAGCAAAAGCTCGATGTGTAGGTTTGAGATTTGCTAATCAAAACTACAGCACAAAAAGTTATTTTATAAACAGTGTTGTAGCGGTAAATAATTCCCCAAAATTATTGATCATAGGAATCATCACTGAATATTGGATGCTGACCCTCACTGTTTAAGTCCACTTGTTCAGCTGAAGGCTTCCGGTCAAGCATCCATGCTATTTGGTGCTCCGTCGTGTCACGTTCGTGCACGATCACTGGCCAGCTAAGCACTCATCTCGGTTTACGATTAGGTTCCGAAATATATCTCGTAGTTTGGACGATCTACTCTGGTCTTTTGCTTTGCATTTGGTCTACGCGGAACGAATACTATAGAAGTTGTGGGTATTAGATCTTGCGTTAGTATGCTTCGTACTATCCGTGAACGTCAATACCGTTAGCCTCTAAAGCGTCATTTATATAACAGAGTTGCTTATATACAACAATGTCGGCCACCATAGAGTTGATAGTTGGTGATATCTACCTAATCACATCCTTGAACAGGCATAATATGCTCTCCTAGTCAATGTTTTGATGTTTGGAGTAGCTTTATGATCGAATTACTGTTAGCCACACCGGATAACACTTAAGGAAAGGTATTATTATTATTTCCTTTAATTCCCAGGGGAACATAGGGCTTCAGCCGCGTGTCTTCATTGCGTTCTCTGCCAACGTTATCACCTAGCTCCAAGTCTGCCCACACGCTTTCATCTCCTCTTCGCATGACCTTCTCCAAGTCACCTTTGCACTGACGACCAACTCGCCGCCTCCCTTTCGGGTTCCACTCGACCAATGGCTTGTCTAGTGACGTCACTTGCTGGTTTCCTCAGAGTATGACCATTCCATCTCCATTTCTTCCTGCCTATTTGTTTCACAATCGGTTCCTGGTTGGTTCGCTCTCAGAGATCTCTGTAGCTGATCTTTTCTGGCCATCTGATCTTGCGCAGTAGTGAACGAAGACAGCTGTTGATGAATGTCCGTAGTTTGTAGGAGATGCTCTTTATGACTCACCAAATCTCTGATCCGTGTAATAGCAATGACTTCACATTGGAGTTGAAAATCCGGATGTTATTTTTGATGCTGAGTGCTGTTGATCTCTTACAATACGTAAAAATGCTATTTCTATTTAAGGCCCAAAGAAAATTCAGTTCAAATTCCTTCATTTGGAGTAAACAGTTGGCCCACAAAGCTACTGGAAGCGAGAAATATATCCCTATGATTGGATATTTTCTCTTCTTGAATAAATGTCTATCTCATCTCATTTTCTTCTATAAACAGATACAAGTAAACAATTTGCATGTCTAGAACAGCATACGATTTTGCATTTTTGTGTCAGTTTACTGGTTATATAAGTACATCGTCTAAACTTTTATTGTTATTTATCAGCGTAAATTGCAAATGCACGATACAAATAACTCAGACAAACATGACTACTGTTCTTTCAGTGTTGATGTCGGGCTCACTAGTATCTGGCTGCCGCAGAGAAAACACAAATCAGTATAGCAGTTTTACTCTTGGTTCAGCTGCCTGCTTTGGACGAATGTCAGCAGCAAACTGAAAGCTATCTTTACTATTCAGTGCCTTCATAAGGCAACTCCTGTGGAGTTAGGAATATCGGTTGTTTGACTCGGGTTTTTCGCCGAGGGTGCAAAAACAGTATCCCGCGTGGCTAGGAGAAAGGTCGGAGTGTAGCTACAAGGAGCACAACAGTTAGACATTTGATCAACGTTGTTCGTCTTATTTCTACTATTTCTCCCCTTAAAGCTATCTTTAAAGCGAAAAACAATCTACCAAAACCATAACACATCAGACTAAAGCCTTAGCCATCGAAGTAGAGAATGAGGGGCTTTGTATGTATAAGTTGTTCAGCTGCTTGTTTATTATGGTCTTAATACGTCTATGTCATATTGTTATTTATTTGTCGTCTGGTTCAATTACCCTGCCAGTCTATTATTTATTATTTCTGTTAGTTTTATTAATTCCACTCAAAACAGTTCCTGATATTATCTACAGTTTTGTCTAAACAATCCAGCTTGCAAAAATATCGTGTCACTGACATCGTGCTCACACGGGATTAAAGGACTCACTCACCCAACTTTATCGAACTTTCTGAGATACACCCGTGTCAAAAAGTTCTTGCGGAGTACCCGAAGTAAATATCAGTTGAATACATGAATTTCTAGTAATGCAGATGAACACATATGAAGTATCTGAGGTACAACTGGATTCACTAATTTTCTAGATGATCCCAACACTAGCTATAAGTTCACCAGTTGCCACAATGCCTTTACATCACTGACGATGCATCACCATCAGTCTACTCCTTAGGGTGACAGTTGTTTAGTCACTTTCTAGTTTACCTCTGGACAGTTTTCCTCAGCACAACCATATTCCAATAACAGTATAAATCAATACTGACAAAACAGGTTGTAACCCGCTGATGTTTCAGACCTTCAAACAGCATAAAAACAGCCTTATTTTGGTGGGAAAAGGCATACACATACCGGCAAAATCAACTTTTTGAGTTCACACTGGTTTGATTCCGCCATCTTGACAGCTCTTTTATATACTAATAAAGGGTTGTCTGCAACTATCTTTCCTAATTTTTTTTCAGTATGAGGCAGCATCTTTTAAGGCAACTATACAACTTTGAAATATGATGGGTGAGGAAATTTTTACAAGCATACCAAGACTCAAGTGTTCTACATGCAAGGAAACTTCTGAAATTTTTAGTACATCTTCCATGGCACCAAAATAATCATAAGGGCAAAATAAAGATACTTAATATTAACTAAACAGATGTCTGGTTCACTTTCGGATTTTTTTGGCATTTTTAGGTTTGTTTTATTCGATATACATCAGTCCATGCTTGACGCCGCTTTGTGGCTTTTGTCTGTGCTGGCAACAGGAACATCTTCAAAGACCGCAGCTCAGCCACACTAACCAGATAAGTCCAAAACCTTGACATTTTATTCCAATTAAATATACTGCCCATCGGAGCATATTCCTAGATGACTGAGTCTTTTTGGTTCATGATTTTATATAATTACATGGAAGTAAGATGGTGTATTGATTAGGTGGGTATATAGTCACAGTGCATACATTATGGCTGGTATATTGTAGAATATTGTAGGGACAAATAATTCCCAAAAATTGTAATCCTCAAGCACTCACCGTTCAAAATTGGATGGTGGTTTCCACTACTGAAGTCGACTGGTTAAGCTGAAGGATCTCAGTGAGGCATCCACACCGCCGTTCTATGTCCATTAGTGCACGATGCACAGCTAGTTAAGCAATCAACATCGCACTATGATCTTGATCCCGAAATATAATTCGTGTTCCGGATGGTCATTATGGTGTTTCGACTCGACCCTGGTCTCAGTTCACAAGAGCTCTAGGATATACAGAATCGAAACCTGCATTTGTATACGCAGTATCTTGCATGAGCAAAAACAACCCACGTCTCCTAAAGTATGGACAACACAATCAGTCCCCTAAAAGCTCGTCCAGGAACGCTGTATAATATCCATCCTGAAATACATCTAAATACTCAAAACAGACTATCTGTATTCGGCACATCTGTTTCTTTAAGCAGTTCTGTCCTACGTTCCATGTACTCAGGTGAGGAAGATACCAGCCAGCTTGAAAACCTTCAGCACTCAATCAAAATGCCAGGAAGTTGTGACAACTGTCTTTACTCACAGTAGATTCCAAAAACACCCCACAGTAAATTTTGACCCCCACTTACTGCTCTAAATCAAAGCAAGAGGTATCTAATAAATTCTAAACTAATGTGGTGAGTAACAGCAGACAGAAAACTCTGAAGTAATCATATTCATGAATTTTGTGAGCTCCTGACCTCTGTTTCAATATTCCGTCTCAGCGACATCCTTTTCGTATGTACAAACAAGATGTCATAACTTGGACCAATGAACAGTATTAATGGACAAGCAAGTGACATTTGACATTTCCTGATATTCACGATTTGCGCGCAACTGCATTTGGTCACTATTGTTTTTTCTGCCTTTTATTTTTTCACGATTTAGCTTTCAGATTTTAATTCGCTATTGCGACATAAAGAATCATTAGCACCGAGGTTATATTTCACCTAACTCGGGTTGTCGTTTGTCACAAATTTATGGCTAAAGCCCATTGCCTGTTACCGTTCGCCAATTGCCAAAATCGAACATATAATTTTGATCACCTTTTCGGTTGTTAGTTTTCCGTTACCTCACAGTTTCATTTTACTAATCACTCTTTATGGTTTGAATTGTATTTATAAATGCACATAACAGCACATGAAACAGATGGAACTGTTCCTTAGTTTCAAAATAGCCACTGCTTTGCATTTTGTGATGTAGCTGTTCATAACCGCTGAAGGCTTTATTTCACTGACTCATGTTCTAATATTGCAGAGATGTAACGGTTAGTTATACATGGCTCTAGCAAGTATTCACTGTTTAAATGAA